GAAAAAAAATATTTTCGAAAAATCTGTTTTTTTCGTGTGGAGTCTACCATACGATTCCGCAAGGAATTATTTTTTGACAGCATGATTCTACACATGATTACCTATCTTCCTGACCCGAAAGCAGCTGAGCAGTTTTTTGCAAAAGTATCGAAAAAAAATATTTTCGAAAAATCTGTTTTTTTCGTGTGGAGTCTTCCATACGATTTCGCAAGGAATTATTTTTTGATAGCATGATTCTACACATGATTACCTATCTTCCTGACCCGAAAGCAGCTGAGCAGTTTTTTGCAAAAGTATCGAAAAAAAATATTTTCGAAAAATCTGTTTTTTTTGTGTGGAGTCTACCATACGATTTCGCAAAGAATTATTTTCTGATAGCATGATTCTCCACATGATTACCTATCTTCCTGACCCGAAAGCATCTGTGCAGTTTTTTGCAAAAGTATCGAAAAAAAATATTTTCGAAAAATCTGTTTTTTCCGTGTGGAGTCTACCATACGATTTCGCAAGGAATTATTTTTTGATAGCATGATTCTACACATGATTACCTATCTTCCTGACCCGAAAGCAGCTGAGCAGTTTTTTGCAAAAGTATCGAAAAAAAATATTTTCGAAAAATCTGTTTTTTTCGTGTGGAGTCTACCATACGATTTCGCAAAGAATTATTTTCTGATAGCATGATTCTCCACATGATTACCTATCTTCCTGACCCGAAAGCATCTGTGCAGTTTTTTGCAAAAGTATCGAAAAAAAATATTTTCGAAAAATCTGTTTTTTCCGTGTGGAGTCTACCATACGATTTCGCAAGGAATTATTTTTTGATAGCATGATTCTACACATGATTACCTATCTTCCTGACCCGAAAGCAGCTGAGCAGTTTTTTGCAAAAGTATCGAAAAAAAATATTTTCGAAAAATCTGTTTTTTTCGTGTGGAGTCTACCATACGATTTCGCAAGGAATTATTTTTTGACAGCATGATTTTACACATGGTTACCTATCTTCCTGACCCGGAAGCATCTGTGCAGTTTTTTGCAAAAGTATCGAAAAAAAATATTTTCGAAAAATCTGTTTTTTCCGTGTGGAGTCTACCATACGATTTCGCAAGGAATTATTTTTTGATAGCATGATTCTACACATGATTACCTATCTTCCTGACCCGAAAGCAGCTGAGCAGTTTTTTGCAAAAGTATCGAAAAAAAATATTTTCGAAAAATCTGTTTTTTTCGTGTGGAGTCTACCATACGATTTCGCAAGGAATTATTTTTTGACAGCATGATTCTACACATGATTACCCATCTTCCTGACCCGAAAGCAGCTGAGCAGTTTTTTGCAAAAGTATCGAAAAAAAATATTTTCGAAAAATCTGTTTTTTTCGTGTGGAGTCTTCCATACGATTTCGCAAGGAATTATTTTTTGATAGCATGATTCTACACATGATTACCTATCTTCCTGACCCGAAAGCAGCTGAGCAGTTTGTTGCAAAAGTATCGAAAAAAAATATTTTCGAAAAATCTGTTTTTTTCGTGTGGAGTCTACCATACGATTTCGCAAGGAATTATTTTCTGATAGCATGATTCTCCACATGATTACCTATCTTCCTGACCCGAAAGCATCTGTGCAGTTTTTTGCAAAAGTATCGAAAAAAAATATTTTCGAAAAATCTGGTTTTTTCGTATGGAGTCTACCATACGATTTGGCAAGGAATTATTTTCTGATAGCATGATTCTCCACACGATTACCTGTCTTCCTGACCCAAAAGCAGCTGGGAAGTTTTTTGAAATAGAATATTCTTTAAATTTTAGTCTTTCATGCCTATGATTTGGTAAAGAATGATTATTCTATAGACTCAATTGAGAATGATTCGAGACCCAGAAGCAGCTGTGCAGTGCTTTATTATACATCGTATCATCGCAAACAAAAGCAGTTGAGGAATTTCGATATTCCCTACCCTAAAAGGGGGGAAACGTGTGCCACTGGTCGATCGGGAAAGTTCGGAAATTCTGGCAGCCAGCTCTGGCAGCCCACTTCACGTAGGTCATGTCAAGTGCATGTCAATAATAACACATCATTGACGTTTTATGATATCTGTGGTTTTATGACGAGTGCCTGCAGACAGTTTCGCGCACGACATCCATCATTCTGGCTACCACCATAATAACGTAATATAAGGAAGGTAAATAATAATAATCTTCCTGCATAGGAAAGCAGACTACGTTTTCTCAACAATCTGACATAAATCGGCCTAAATATAACTTCTTCAGGAAGTTGTGATAATCTGTTTTTGGAAAAATTACTTGAAACGCCACAAATTAATCCTCTACACTACAATAATTTTGTATCCATATCGAATCGATTTTTAGATTTGGTTGGTTGGTCAAGTCACTGAATAGCAAAAAATCTGTAGAGTATCTCCCATGCAGAAATGAATTTGCGCCTTCGAAGTGGCCACCTGATGTTAGCTTAGATATTCATACAGGGTGTCCCAGAATAACGTTCGTATACACCGGGAGGTGATCCTGCAGATGAAAATATGAAAAGATGCTCTGACAACATGTGTCCAAAATACTTCCTAAGGACACGCTAGAGATCTAGAGCTAAAGAGATATTCCCCCAAAAAATCAAGATCACGCCGAAGAACCCAAATAAAACAAAAATAGTACTCTTCTAGACAACGGTTCGTTTAACAGCATTCTAACAAGAATATCTTTTTTATATAAATGTGTTCGGAGAATCATATTTCTGTAGAAGAAATGAGATGAACCTTGAAACAAATAAAGTTGGGGCATTTTCATAGCATTGGTTACGAGTTTCACACCTCCCTATATATTGAATCATGCTATCCGTGCCACGAAACGATTTGTATGATCGAATCACCGGGCGTGTTTTTCATTCCATGGAAGAAAGTGCGCACTGATAGATGCGGTTTTTTGTCGTGACGTCACCAATTGTTCTGTTGGAATGTATGCTGGAAGGATTGAACAATGGTTTATACAACACATTGATGGAAACACGGATTTTGTTGTGTGTCAGTCATCATGTATCTTGAGAATCAGAAGGGGCTAATTAGATTTTATTGATTAACACTGACTCTTTCTTCTAAAATCTCTCGAGAATCTTAAAAATCCTCAATATTAATTGTTTTCTATCAAATCAAAACAAAAAACAACACTAAAATGTGTCAACTGTCATGACAATCTCCTCCAAACTGCTGGATTCTCCAAAAGCGATTTAAAAGTGCGCATTTTATTACAACAGTTTGATGGATGTCCATCAACATTCCAGCGGAATTTTGCAACAGTTTGATGGTTTCTTCGATTCATGCGCATGATAAAATGTTGGAATGAAAAACGCACCCACCCTCAGGTACAAAATAACAAAATTTTTCTATCAGGGAGTCTAAATCAAATGTCCCAATTCATTTCCTTCTGGCTACCTTTCAATCTAATAAGCCAGGAGTTATGGATGTTCTTCCGTAGTTTTCATGTCATCGCAACGTCAGATGATGACCTTGACTACCGTGAATAGGAGTTTTGCATAATGTTCTTACCGATAGCGTAATAACTATGGCGATGACGATATAAACTTATATATTATGTAATATGACGGTCAGAAATTAATCATCATAAATCTGCCTACTGATTGAAACTTGAAGAGTATATTCCTCGGAAAATTACTTACTTATGTAAAGTCAGTTGAAACAGATCGTAAAAGGAATGTCGGGTCGCACTGCTGCGCCCTTTGAGGTTTCGAGCGAGTTTCTTGATGTTACTAAAGTTTTCATATTTTTCAACAAATTTTCAGTTTCTGTGTAGGCTTCCTTACTAACTTCATACGCCTATCGGTCCAGAACCTTTCTGTGGTATAGCGAAAGCGCTGCAAAGAACAAATAACAGCACTTGGATGAAGAAGCAGTCTCGAGAATGGTGGAACAAGGCGCCGGGAATGAGACAGGCCAAAGAGTTCATTAAAGAACCATTGCCAAAATTCACGGAGTACCTACTAAGCCAGAATAGGAGAACAACAAGGATCCTGGTTGGGCTCCTGACAGGGCACTGTAGACTCAACAAACACATGAACAACATCGGATTGGCGGACACAACCATATGCAGGTTTTGCCAAGAAGATGAGGAAACCTCAGCACACATACTGTGCTACTGCGAAGGCCTGACTAGGCTAAGGTTTTCGACGATAGGGGAGGAAAAACCACAGCCCTCTCAATATATGGAGGACCTGAGGTCTGGCCTATGGAGTCTAGTAATAAGGATGGGTTTAGACAAGGAACTCTAACATAACATGAGGGCACACACAATAGATCTGTAAAGGTCGCAGTGGAGAGGCTCCTAGTAGCACATGAGCCCCATATCAATCTAATCTAATCTAACTTCATACGCCAACTCAAAAGCAGCACTGATAATTGGTACGCAATAGCGAATTGTGCAAAATCATCTCTGGCCGAGGCTACGAAAATTAGAACTCATAAATCAATATAGTAGATAACAATCATCTGCTCTGCCGGGGATTCGAACCTATCAACTTTTTGATGATCTGATTACTAGTTGAGCGCCCCTGCCACTGCGCTATTCCGCCGTCTCACTTGGTAAATCCCGCAGCAGAATCGCGTGCCGTGTGATGGTGCACAGTAGCATAGTAGTGTGTTGGAAGCCAGAATGATGGATGTATTGTGCGAGATCAGTCGGCAGGCACTCGTGGGTCAAGAATCAAGATGTCTTGTGTCAGCGAGAGAACAACTCGAAGTCAAATTGAAACAGGTGACAACTGACACGAGTGACACGGGACAGTACAATTCAGTCGTCTGCCTGGAATGTGGCTGATCAGCTGTCAGATTTTGTAAAAATATTATTGTTTTCTTGTCAAAGAATGAAATAGTAGGATTAGTAGGTTCAATTTTATCACCATTGAATTTATTTTTTATCTCAGATTCACCGTTTCTCCACTTCTGGTTTTCAAATCAACTTTTTTGGTACAATAATTCTTTGAAATGTCTGCAACTCCAGGTTGGTGTTCTTAGAATATTCCAACATCTGTTATATTTTCCAATCTATTATTTCAGAAAATCGCCCAGAGCTGTATGAAGAAGTCAAACTATATAATAACGCTAGACAAAGAGAGAAGTAACAAGATCATCATCACAATGATTCCATCATTCTATATCAACATATTTCAGGTTTGATAATTTGGCGGACCTTTATGCAGTCATCAACACATTGCAACAATTAGAGAAGGCATACATCAGGGATTGTGTCACGCCCAAAGAATATACAGGTGCTTGTAGCAAACTGTTGGTGCAATATAAGGCAGCATTCAGACAAGTGCAAAGTGATGAATTTCCAGCAGTTGATGCATTTGTCAAAAAATATAGAGTAAGAATACTGACTTCATTTTCATAGTTATATTTCTCAACACTTTCATTCAATCTTTTAGTTGGATTGTCCTGCAGCTTTGGAACGAATTCATGAAGACAGACCTATAACCATTAAGGATGATAAGGGCAATACAAGCAAATGCATAGCAGATATAGTCTCACTTTTCATTACTATCATGGATAAACTAAGATTAGATATAAGAGCAATGGATGATTTACACCCTGAAGTCAGAGACTTGGTGGATACAATGAACAGGCTCAGCATTTTACCATCAGATTTTGAAGGCAAACAGAAAGTTGTGGAATGGCTAGCTACTTTGAATTCCATGCAGGCCTCTGATGAATTATCTGAGTCTCAAGTGAGACAGTTGCTATTTGATCTTGAAGGCTCATATGCTGCCTTCAATAGGGTACTTCATAATTCTGCTTGAAGAAGATGGTAGAGTTTGAACAGGTTGTTTATATTGAAATTATTATGACCACATGTTATTGTAACAGTAGGTGAAGTTGATATCTAGAGTCTAAGTGAACCCAGCACATCCATAGATCCACATAAAGGAATTTTTATATGAACACATGCTGATTTATTAATTCTACTCTTTAATTTAGATAATAAATTACAATCATTGTTTACATCTGAGGAGACCCAAGTTCAGTCACCACAATAAGCATGATATTGCAATTTTGTTATTGGTTTATACAGAGATTATGGGGAGTGTATAATCTCTGGTTTATATCTACAAGCACCACTGGTTAATATCACTCTGATGGAACAATTTAAAGGTAATTTGTATCATCCAAACAGACCTAATACTACTTAGTTGATGTACAGTTCCTAATATAAACCATTTTTTCACTAGTAAGAGTAGTAAGTAGATATACCTATTGTTGAAATGGATCAATTTTCATGTTGTGGATGGCCTTGTGGTAAAGCTAGACAAAGATTACTCAACTTTAGGATACCCCTCAAGAATGTTGATCTTATCTAAAAACTACATGAGCCTTTAAATGAAAAACACTTACTGAATAGTCAAGATATAAGAAAGTTGTCCTAGTCTTGTTTCAACATAATATTATGAATGAGACATGAAAAGTTTAAATATAGCACATTAGACGTTTCTGGTGAACCAGACACCATAATATACTTTTATAAATTTGATGGAGAGCATGTTCTCAACCTAACTCAAATATTTTAGACAATGCAGTCTTGCCACTTTTATTAGAAAGTAGTAGCAACTTTGATAGTTCAAATGGATCACCCTGTATTTCATTGCATTTTTTTATTCTCCCTGGAGAGCTGATTTATCACACTTGGGGTCAAGCTGGAATTATTACAGAGATAATATGGGTGTTCAAAGTGGGATTTTTCAACTTGAGAATTTTTTTGAGTTCAAACCAAGTATTCATTATCGGTAAAAACGGCTTTCATGTCACTAGCTTAATTTTTGATTCAGTATTTACTGACATTCAATTGGAACAGATACTGGGTGATCGAAATTCTGAATCGTGAACCAACCTGTATTTGTTCCAATTGAATGTCAGCAAAAAATAGTGAATTGTTGAGAAAAAAGTTGAGATGAAAACCGTTTTGACCGATATAATGAATAGTTTCGACACAAAATGGTGCTAAAGTTGAAAAATCTCGATTTTGAACACCCTATATCTCTGTAATTATTCCCCTCAATTGCCCCAAAGTGTGATATATTGATGAAATTAGCTCTCCAGGAAGAATCCAAAAATGCAATGAAATTCCTTTCGAAATATCAAAATTGCTACTACCTTCTGCTGGAAGAAGAAGAGAATTTTCGATTATCCTCTATCAAAATTTCAAAGTGAACCGATGTCTGGGTCACCAAAAACGTCCAGAAACGTCTATAATGTGCCAACCACCGTGAAACAGCCTGTATATATTACATTTGCACACTACAATATCCAATTTTCATCATGATATTGCAAGTTTTATATCAGTTTTATCTATAATCATAGAAAATATTTATAATAAGTGGCATATATTCTATTTAGGAATGATTTGAAAAATAATTTTTTTTTGCAATGTCAGTTATGATTATTTATTCACCAATTGAGCTAATTCAGGACAGACTTTTGCGACAACCCTGTGTCATTGTGTTTGCTTCTATGATTAGTTCATAGATTAAAGAAGTAGGTGACGATAACTAGGACCAAAATACCTGTTTGTACCTGGCAACCGAAAAGTTAGACCGTGAAAAATAAAGGCAACCCTACTTTTGCATTTTCTATAGGCTTTGTACTTGTACAGTATTGGTACAGTCAAATGCAAACTGTACATGGTGCGTAAGCGAATTTTTAATTAATTATAGCCTGGCCAGGATTTTTTCAGGAAATCCATTTTTTTTAAATTGTTAACATGCTAAATTACTTATAAAATAATTTTTATCCATTGAACAAATGGGTGGAGGTGGAACCTCTACTATACAATATATGGTCCTATATGGTCCAGAAAAAAACTAAAAAATTAGAATATTTGATTTTGGTAAGATTCCACCTGAACCATTTTCATGACTTGAAAAATTCTCAATTCTTCCATGAATTGACTTCAATTGTGTGAAATATATTCGCATCACACATGAAAATATCGTCAACTTCACTAATAATTATTCAAAAGAAGTACAGATTCCTGATGAGAAAACGGTCTGAGGAAGTGAACTATACAGGGGGTGTATCTATAAATAACACCGAAAAAATTCAAGAGGTGATTCCTTGTGATACTCTAGCAAATAAAATCCATATGAACATGTGTCCTAACTGGCTCCGTTTTTTCGATACAGGATGTTGAAGTTTGAAGTATCAATTGTTTTTATTTATAACCCCCCCTAAAAGGCACCTAGAGCTTATTGGGATCAAGGATGACCCCCTTTGCAGATGATGCCTGGAAGATGACGAAACGTCATCACATGTCCTCACTCAGTGTCCAGCACTGACGCATCAGAGGAGGGCTCTGTCCTTGGCAACATAATTTTGAGGCCAGAGGACGTAAAAGAGATTGAGCTGAGGAAGCTCTGCTGAACTTCTCCAAGGCAGTCGGCATACCCAGCTGAATGTCGTAACATGTGGGCGCACAATGGGCCCGAATAAGGAGGCCCACGTGCAGGGGGCTCACCCGCCCACCAGTGCTTCGAAGAAGAAGAAGAAGAACCCCCCTATATGAGCTTTCATGGTGCCAAAACTCAGTATGGTTCGAGATTGAGGAAGCCCTAAAATTTCAAAATGATTGTAATTGGGGTTATTGAGCAGTGATCTCAATGGAAGTTTTGAAAACACTTATACATTAATATTTGGAGTCGAATTGATTTTATTGTTTCCTCAAAAACTAAGCTTGATACTAAAATCATACAAAGGATTAAAAAGTTGTTATTTCAATAGTTCAATCTAATAAAAATATGAAACTCAGAAAAACCCATGGCGTATAATGACATTCACCATAACTATCGATAAATTTACCAGAATCTAATTGCACCAGAAGAAGCTCCATATTACTATTAACAAAACCACAACGTTTTGTTGAAATCGATGAAGACAATTGAGCAATGAATGAAAAAACGATTTTTCATGGAAATATTATTAATACCCTGTGTCTCGAAAACACAAGGAATCGCCCCTTGAATTATTCTTTCGGTGTTATTTAGATACACCCTGTATATGTATGTAGTTTGGATTGGTATTTCAAAATAATGAAAAAAATATTTCACTGAAACAGGCACATATTGCAGGGGCCCAGCAAAAGTTTTAGAAAAGGCCCGTGCCTGCATGATTACGCCACTTGGGTAGTACCTAGTCGGTGATCTGTGGTCTCACAATGATTTCATTGAGAGCTCTCTTTTTGATTTTTAACCGTCATTGCATCATCGTCTAGTGACAATAATGAGCAGATTGTTTATCTACCTCTAGTATAAATAACGTGCAGGTGAGGGTACTTATATACCTTACGACTATCAGTCAGTGGACTCTTTGGCACAGTTTACACCGGTTTGTATAGGTACTGTGATATTTTTTCGACTGAATTGTAGGTAGTATCTATTCTAAAGAATGGCACCAGCTTATAAGTTGACTTATTTTAATCTTACGGGACTCGGAGAAGTGATAAGGTTCCTTTTTCACTACGGAGGAATTGAATTCGAAGATGTATACGAATTGAAGAATTCACGGAATGGCCTGCTATAAAATCCAGTGAGTGTTTCTACATACCTACCTATCTTAATCAGTGTCTAGATCAACTTTGATTGGATTATTGTTAATTCATATTGTTAATTGTGTTCATTAGTTTAATGATGATCGATGTCCCAAATGCATGTAAAAACATTATTGTTCATCGAACGGCACCTGTGCCAATCACTGTCCTGAAAAGATCATCACATGACGGAAGTATGTCCGGAATAATAGCGGTAAATAAATCGCCGTGCCGTTTATTTAACAGACTGAGAAGTAGGTTTTTGAGATCTACCATTCAATTGGTATGGGATGGCATAATTCTTATCTCGTTATCAAATCGCGAAATCGAGTGCAAATTTCTGCAAAGGAAAGTGCAGTTTATATAATAACGGAGATTCCCATATGGTGAAGCTCGAAAGACGGGCACCCTGTATATAAAGTCTTGTGACAATTTTTATTTGAATTGAACGAATTATTGAACGACTGCAGATTTTTTCTGATTGCCCAAAAAGTGTTTGGGATCACACGTTAAAAGGTAAGACCCCCGTCATTCCTTGCTCGAACAATAAGTCTTTTGAAGATTTCTGAGGATTGCTCGTGAGGGGCAATCGAATGTTAAGAACAACAATTTTGAGAGGTAAAGAGTGGAGATTCATGACCAGATATCGAGAAAAAATATTCGGAAAAGTGGATTAAATAGTCCCTAAAAAACCTAAAAGGTCGATACAAAATCTTTAGCACATAATCCTGACGTCGAAATAGGCCGATTTGAAGCTGTCGTAGTTGCTGATATATCAACAATTGTTCCTCCCTTCATGGTAACTTTGGAGACCTGCAGAACATCTCTTTCCAAAGACTCGTTTATCCAACGAACAGCGAGGCTCTAGAACACATTGCCAAGGGAGGTATTCCCCGAGGCATACAACTCCCAGAATTTTAGAAGAACACCAATTCCTACCTAATTTCCCTTGGTTCTCACGATGTTCTCTGAACATTACAGGATATCCCTTTTCGTGGGAACCAGAACATAAAAAAAACTTGAAGTAATACTTTTTTTCAATTCAGAAATGCCATTTGGACAGATACCCATCTTGGAATACAATGGCAAAACCTATTACCAATGTAGAGCTATTGCAAGATACCTACCTAGCAAAACAAGTGAAATTGGTTGGAAAGGATGATTTGGAAAACTTGGAAATCGATCAAACTGCTGATGTTGTATCCGATCTATTCCAAAGTAATAAAAAAAATCACCGCTCAACGTACGAGGTAATAAATAAGTAATATTAATACATACATATTTTTTCAGAAACTGTCGATTACTATTATGAACCAGATGAAAAAGTTAGAAAGAATAAAGAGGGCCCCACCCTAGACGAATTGTTGCCTTTTTATATTGGAAAACTCGAAAAACAGATACAAGATAATAATGGCTATTTAGTTGGTGGGCATGTGAGTACATATTTGCAAAATTTCATTGAAATGGCGGTTTCACGATCATCTATGATTAAAAATTAATTTTATGCAAGGATAAAGGGACAATAAGGAACAATATTATTCCAGGAACAAATTAATCCAGATATACATAACCATTACCTGACATTTTCGAGATTTTTTTTAGTTTTAATCACCTTCATATACAGGGTGTCTCAAAAAAGGTGGCCCCGTTGTTAGAATAGGTAGAAAAATGCAAAATAAGCTGGGTGCTCATTGATAAAATATTCCGTATATTCAAGATACTATACAGTGTGTCCCACTTACGATGCTCACCATGGGTATCTTTTAAACGGTGAGAGATACGAGGTCGGTTAAATGACACCATATGTGGAGTTTGTCAAGGCCAACTATAATGTGAAAAAAAATTTTGATAAAATCTATTCGTTTTTGTTTTATACGCAAAAAACAGATTTTGATCATTTTCATGTCTCCTCCGTAACTTCTTTTGTTTATGAAAATATTCAAATAGGAATTTCTCATTCTCATGGCAGTTTTTCAAAGTGATTTCGAAAAAAATATGAAATTCATGCCAACTCTTCTAGAATTTGAGATATCAGCACCAACTTTAGTTTTTCAAATGTAGAGGTCATAGCTCACTATGACTAAGTTACAAATAACTTCTTTTTCTCTTCCAGATGATGTATCGCAGTAATAGTTTTGTGTTGATAACAACGGAGTTATCGTCATTTATACAAGAACAAAAAAATTATTTGGAAGCCGCCATCTTGAATTTATAAATTTTTAACAAAAAAATCATGATCTCCGACCCCAAAAACCCCCACTTACCAATTTTGAATCGAATCGGACCAAATCTTGTCCACCATCTTGGAGCAGCCATTTTTTTTAATTTCAACAAAAATTCCATAATGTATTGTCACCGAAATACACCGAATTTGAATGCATTATATTCAATTTTTCTTGAGATATTGCGAAAAAACTATTTTAATTTCGTAACTTCAACGCCCTGTATCTCGAGAACTGAACACTTAAAGACCGTATGTCCGTATCTCAGTGATTATGAAATCACAAGGGTTATCACCTGTCAAGCGGTGTCGGTCGAATTTCGCAACATCCTGTATAGTTACCTATATCGTATCCCCCTATATCGAATACTTTGGCTGAATTCAAATTATTTATCGATCATTACTGACATAACTATTATTATTATTTTTCAGTTGACTTGGGCTGATCTACATCTAGTGGGTGCTAGTGAGTATATCAGTTTCATGTCAGGCAAAGACATTGTAGCTAACACTACATATATCAAAGCTCTCAAACAGAAAGTTCATGGTCTACCTGGCATCAGAGAGTATATCTCAAAACGACCGAATGTTGCCTGAGCAATGAAAGATGTTTCATCTGATATTGACATATTGATATTGCATGTTTCTTGGAATGTTAAAAAAAGGGAAACTGATTGGGAGGAACACTTGAATAAATATTACACAATCTCAGTCTCTGCATTTTATTTATTCAGTTTCTACTTTTTCCATGGTCAATAATAAGATAAGATAGGTATAAATGTAGCTACAGGGTGAGTCAAAATTATGTATCGAGCTTTCAGGAAGTGATAGCACATTACAAAATAAGTATAGGTCCAAAATGTATAAAGGGAGATCTATCCTTCCAAAGTTTATTAGATTAAAATAACTTCTAACTTATTATAACCTCCAAGAGTTCAAAAAGAATCCAATACCTTCTTCCTCATCCTATCCTCCCTAGGCACGAACGATGTTCTTCTAACATTATAGGAATTTTCCTTCGTGCGCTTCAACAGAGCCCCCAGATCGAAATAATCTGCGTAAAAGGTATGTTCATGCTTGTAAGAATTCCGCAAAATTTATGCGAATCGCAAAATATGAAATTTCCGACAGAATTTGACGTTCATACTCATGCGACAAAATATGCAGGAGTTAAGAGTTCTGTTGTGATATCAATTTCTTTATTTCTGGTCCCACCATTGATAGAAGTTCATCAGATTGAAGGCATGTTACACGAAAGTAAATATATGTATTAGGGTCATTCAGTCGCATTTATCGAACGAGTCTGTACTAATCTCCATTCATTTTTCGGCATTTAAAAATGCTTCGAACAGTACAGTTCCTTTTTATGCTTCTGGATACATCATTAGTTCTATAGAGACGATACAGATGATACTTTAAAATCAATTCGTCCCGAGAATCAATCCTGCGAAGAAAATTTAATCAAATGAAGAAATGATGAAATTTTCAATTATAATTCTGTACTTACCTGTAGTCTAGAGTCTAGTCTCGTCTTTTTTCGACCTCTGCAGTCCGCTCTCTAATTCCTCAATTTTGATGTTATCAAAATAACAATACATTTTATGTGGTTATGATTCCATCCGAATTCGCAAAAAAGTTCAAATATTTCAACTTCATTGCGATATTCGCAGTCGCCATATTATTCGCATAAATTTTGCGGAATTCGTACAAGCATGAACATACCTTAAATGTCGTTGAAATATTTTTTTCCGATACACTTCTAAATTTATGATATCGATATAAAGGGTGTTTTCACAGGTTGGGTTATGATTTGGTGCAGACAACTTGTTTCCTTGTAATCGTTTCGGTAAACAAATAGGAGCATTTGATAAAGCGAAGAAAATTACATGAAAAAGGCACACTTATCAAAATACGAAAATTTTTACCGTTTTCGAGATATCAGAGTTTATGTAGTCACATGATATCAGTAGATAAATTCATCAGTAACAATATTTTAGGAGGTCTCGAACTTCTTCGCAGACCGCACCCATCTCTATTTTTCGTTTTGAAACATTATGTAAACTAGCTCACCACCGCAAACCGTTTCTTGCTGTGAGCTCCCTACGTTTCAATCGCAGATTCGTGATTAGGTTTCCTCATTTCAGAATTCTTTCCACGTCCTGTATGATGAATATCAATTTGTCATTCAGCCAAAAACATACATTTATGCAGATAATTTCAATCTGGTGATGATGGCTTTCACTATTGAGAAGTTATACGACAAAATTATTTTAATTTCATCAACTTTGGAAGGATAGATATATCCCTTAAATGCATTTTGAGCCATAAGTTTATCTATTAAAGTATACTTATTTTTTAACCTATACTATGACCTGCAGAGAGCTTTGCTACACATTTTTGACTCACCCTGTATATCTCAGTATCTATCATACTAAAAATGACTGTATATACATATTATAAATACCAAATGATGTCTCTATTGTAATGAAACATATCATTTTTGTAGCATACATATAGGAGAAGATTCGATCAGCAATAGTTCACACTATTATCAAATTCACATATCTTTTAAATACAGGGTGTCCCACTGCACCTACGAGATTTTTCCGGACATCTCGACTATTGTTTTAACTAGGCTACGTCTCGTTAAAAAAAATCAGATCTCGATCACCAAAGTAGCATTTTGCGCTCTAGATACAAAAATAACTATTCAATTTAAAAGCACTTTTAACCTAGAACAAAAAAATCTTTGTAGCTAACTTTGAATTAACTATTTCGTTTTGTCCGCACCTACGTGCCCTAAATTGAGTCGACAATTATTTCAATTCAATGAAAAGGCACTGTATCAAATTGATAGTTTGTGACCCCTCTAATGTAAGGTACCTACCTACTCAAAATAAATAACTCAAAAATTAATGTTACTTATCGTCGACGAAACCGCAAAACCACTAAAAACACGTACTAAAGTAGTAACAAACCACCTGATTATCATTATCCTTCCGTTTGTACATTGATCATTGAGAAAAGTCATTGTTTATGTTTGCCAGCGTAAGATACTTGGTTTTGACATCTGCTTCTGTGCGAAAGCAACAACAATTATTCAGAAAAGTAATTCGCAAAAACACGTAACTTCATTTTTCTGGACTTTCCGCTTAACAAATACTTGAGATAAATTCTCACATCCTGTGTTGAAATTCCAATTGAAGTTAAGAATTTACTGTTATACATAAATATCTGTTCTATAAAAAGTCACTCACCAATTAGCAGAGATTGATCTATGTGAAAAGAAATTGAACACAAAATATCAGAGGCGTGAATCACGTTGCCAAATGTTAGATACTTGTTTTTGACGACCCTTTTTTTTCAGATAAGGGGTTTCGTATTTATGGATTTTAAAATATTTACAATTTTTTCCCAGTTGTGAGGTTTTGCATACTCATACCCTATCAATATGATAGACCGATTGCCGCCAGAATCCCATTTTCGAATTTTTGTCAGTTACTTGCTTTGCGGTTTCGTCGACGTTATTTGTTTCGCATTCGTATTTCTGTATTTATGATCGGTATGTTCAAAACTCACGTTTGCCAACACCAATAATAGGTATAAATATTTTATCCAAATCGAATATAAAAGTTATACAGATACCTATCGACTGCGATGGGCGAAATAATTAAGAGACATTAACTTGTGGGTCACCCTGTATAACATCACTCACTATACCTTGTTTAATTGAAAATTACAATATTACGTACCTACCTACTAATACTAAATGTTGTATCCTCCATATATGTATGTAAAGTACCTATGCTTTGTTTAATCAACATTATATGAATGTCCCATGAACTGTAGAGGCAGTTACAATAAAGAATTCAGTAATATTCTTTCCTACTAATTATTATGATGCAAAAACCAGTGAGATAAAATCAAAGATGAAATAGATAAAACAAGAAATCAGATGATCATTTGATTAGAAAAGTAGCAGGTTACCAACTTTATTTCCAGGTATATGCGTGCAATACTCCACCAGCAGATTTAACGATCAATAATAAGAAAAAAAGTTTTTATGAACATTGGTCGAGTAATGTTTCATAAGCGAGCTACATCCCCCTTAAGGTGGTACCCTGAAGATGATTTTTATTTTATATCTTCGAAACTGTTGATAGAATTATCATCAATGTACCACCTTAAGAGAAATTCGACCTATGTTTAGAGGGAGTTATTTTCTTATTTTTGATCATGAAATCTGCTGGTGAATAAGAGTATTGCACGCTAATTATGGGACACCCTTTATAGGATTATAGGAACTACGAGGAACTAAGTATGCGCAGTAATATTCCTAATTATCCACTTTAAAATCACTTTCAAATAATTGCACTCCCAATTGTTTACCAGTAAAAGATTGTCCTTTTCAAGTAGGTATCTCAATTTATTCTCTTCTTCAATTGATGCTGCCCCTATGATTCATATATCCGTTGAACTGGGTACTGGCCAGTACCTTGTCAATGGAGACCTTTTTCATTCTGGAACAAGTCGCTAAGAGGGCTCCCCCTAACAAGCACATGGCTCCACCACCTAGAGCCAGAAGGGCAGAGAACCATCCTGTCTTCATGCAGACACTGTGAGGATCCATTTGGTAACCTGAAGAAAAAGGTCATGAAATGATTTGCAAATGTAAATTAGGCGATATTTAGAAGAAAAAAGTTTCTTCTGCCTAATTTACAGTTGCAACTGTAAATTAGTGCGAAGTTACAGCTGCAACTGTAAATATGGCAAATGTTCGTGGAAAAAGTTTTTTTCAGATGGCAGGTCAGACGCGTCGTAAAAAAACATTTTTCTCACGAATATTTGCCTAATTTACAGTTATTGCAACTGTAAATTAGTGCGAAGTTACAGCTGCAACTGTAAATATGGCAAATGTTCGTGAAAAAAGTTTTTTTCGGATGGCAGGTCAGACGCGTCGTAAAAAAACTTTTTTCTCACGAACATTTGCCTAATTTACAGTTATTGCAACTGTAAATTAGCACTAATTTACAGTTGCAACTGTAAATTAGGCAGAAGAAGCTTTTTTCTCTCTAAATATCGCCTAATTCACAGTTGCAATTGTGAATTAGCAGTATTAGCACTCTCAGCGCATCGCGTGCTATCGAAGAATGAAGGACTCTGAATAACAGTTGCAATTATTGTAAATTAGGCAGAAGAATCTTGTATTTTCAAAATATCTCCTAATTTACAGTTGCAACTGCAAAGTCTGTTACCCGGTATCAGCCCGGTATGCACCACTGTTGTAAGCCCCCACGCGAATTTCAAATACCGGCAGCCATATAAATGTATGTACCATTCGAAATGCGAAATGTGAATTGAAATTATGTAGTTCAATTTGATTCTAATAGTGAAATAATGACTTATTATTTCTATATTTCGGAACTCGAGAGTGACGTGTGTAGTACATAGACCATAAAAAAAGTTTAACCGACTGGGTATACGTATAGGGCAACGAAATGATTAATCGCGAAAAACTTGGGTCAAGTGGAATATTTATTGCAAACGAAACGACAATGATTTGGCTAATGAATATTCCACTCAACCTTAGTATTACGCGAGTAATCATTTCGTTACCCTTTTGTGTTTAACACAGAAAATCTATAGTCGGTTACAATTGGCGCCCAACGTGGGGCACCAATTGAAAAATATAGCACCCAAGACAGGAAAAGATTACCTACGATTTATACAGGCATTCAGCAATAAAATTCTGCATTAGTTACCACTATGACCTGCAGTAAATTCAGTACTTCTCACAAACTCAATCAAAGGAGTTTCCAAAGTCAGTTGCATGGAACGGCTCCAACAAAAAACATAAACCATGCCCTATAGCTTGTTTGATGTATGTGCACGTGACGGACATTCCTTGCTCGAGGTGCTCAAATCCAACTGACTTTGGATATAGACTAAGTATTCCAGATTTTTCACCAAATTGCTCACTTGTGAATGATATATTTCTTTCCTCATCAGTCTCTCCTTCTTGTAGCACTCTCAAAGATTGGAAAAGATTGATATTTTCTGATAGGGTTGGCACAGCAGTAGCAAGCGATGTTGTGTTAGGATCTGTTTCTGAATCTATAGAACGCTTTTTGACGGTTTTTATGTTCCTCCAGTGGCAAGTTTGACTCTGAAATCAAGTTAATTATTATACCTATACATATACTCGCATACATAGGTCTCCCTCTTATGAATCTATAATATACCGAATACCTATACCTAACTCTATATAGTATATACTACTATACACCTATTGTCGGTTATGTATGGCGATCTGGTGCTTTGGAATAAAATTCGCGAAACTATAGTAAAAGTCCTTAGGGTAGTTAGTTAGGTATCGGTTTATGTATTAATAGGGCCAATTTTTGATTTATAGTAGAACTACAAAGGCAAATCAGCAAATAAATCTCATAATATCCGATATATAACTTTGGAATGAGAATGTTTCTGCATATTATCTTCAGCACATGTAGTTCCTTGTTAATTCTCAAAGAGAAAGAAAATGTTGATGAAAATTGGATTTTAAGTCAATTTTAACTCAATCAATAAAAAAAAACTCAAATTTCACAAAAATATAATGGTGATACGATATAAATAATAATATTTTATCAATACTCAAACAAAATAACGAAATATCCAAGAAATTTCTGGTTCTATGGAACAACGATGATAATGATATTTTTTCTTTGGAATTTCGAAAAACCATTATTGATGATGGCTGCACCCATGAAATTTCATGATTGAAGTCACATAATATGCGATATCAGCGGCTATTTAGGTAAACAAACATAATATGAGCGACTGTTCTGTTCGACAGCATAAGAGTGCTACGATTGTCAAAATTTGACATTTTATATCAGTCACTTAAAAATCGAAATGTCTCGTTTTGGGTCTACTTCCACTATACATAAATCAGCAGTAATTATGTAAGCGAATTAATATCAGAAAATGCCAAGAAGAGTAAAGAGTCTGCCTGAAACGAATTTTGTTTTTTTGCCAGCAGAAAAACTGCATTTTGTGCGACTCTACCCCAACTCTCGTGATCGCCAAAATCCTGGAGGATTGGGTGAAGAGTGTGGTGAGGAATATGAAGATTACACAGTTAAATTAATATGGAAAACTATACAGGAAGTATACTTCGCTGAACTTAAACGTAAGATAAATCCATTTGAAAATATCGAATTCAAAGGTGCCAGGAATGCGCATAAGGCGAAAAAGCAAAGCCTGAAATATTTTCCTCAAACAGGAAATGAAAGTTCAGAAGTACTAACTTTATATGAATTGGGTTTATGAAATGATCTTCCTGAATTTCACTCGACCATGGCAAATTGAGACTACTATTTTCTTTAATTCATTTAATTATTTAATATTTCATATACGGTCTCATCAAATTGTCAAAATACAATGTACTCTCGATGGAATTATGAGGAAAATAATAGTCGGCTATTTGTCATGGTCTCGGGATATTACCTACGATAGATTAATTAACCATAGTCTTACCGGACATCTTCCATGGCACATTCGGACGTCACATTCGATGTAAAGTGCAGGTGAACCAGTGAATCTGAAGGTTTTCATGTAGGCAAAAACTTGTGTTTCGAACACTCCTGCGTCTGTCCACGAGCCCCTAAACCTCGATATCAGTTTATCATCCACTGGACATCTGAAAAAATTAGATAGTCGCTCCATAAGAATGCATTGGGAAAACAGTGTATCTTCTTACCCATACTCGTCTATGAGCTGTATTTTCTTTGTTGCTCCGTTATGAGCATAGCAATCGTTCACGACAATATCAAATCCATCTGAAATGAACATTTAAATGCTTAGGTATAATGGAAGATCGGGCCACATTGATTTTTTGGTGGAATTCGTGAAAATTCAATGAATAATGAAACATTAATGGGATTCTCTGTCGTGCGCTACAAGAGATAAAAAAGTACACACTGTAGACCTATAACTAACAGAGCAATACTGGGTGACGATAGTGGTCTCTAAAAGTACCAAACAATTTTCGAAATAATAGAAGAGGAATTCCTTTCAGTCATAATTTATTAAAATATCGCAAGTATCCCGATATGTATAGGTTCCAATTTCATTTCACTAACATATATCTTAAACTATATTTTTTGTTGAATAATTTTTGTTTCGAAAAGGATTTTATCAAAATGAACAATTATTGCGGAATTTCAAAAACGTTGTGAGTTGGTTGGTCAACTCACAACTCAATGCCAGACAATTAGGGACATGAGACATACCTATAGATATTATATAGGCATCGAAAATCTCATATACTGAACAGACACCCCTGAATGGAATTTATATATTTATTCTCGATATACGATATACCCATCATTCACCCTGTATAGCAGGTAAAATCGGAAATTCATCAGGGTACTAATATCGATATAATTGCTTTTCAAGCATTCTTATTATCGTAATTATCAGTAAATCTGTAATGATCTTTATTTGATCATATCGATAATACAGAATCACGGTCAGTCGTACTAGTATACACACCTCTACATTGACATTCTGTGACCTGTGACTCGAATCTACAAGACAAACTATCGTCCTGATGTGACTCCTGTGGGTTGTGATCTACAGTTGTAGTTTGTATCGAGTTTGTACCCTTCGAGTTTTCGTTAAAATTACCAAATCAAATCAGTTATATCAATGTCCACACAAAGGCCAAAATAAAGTGATTTTTGACAATATTGATAGTATATAGAATTACACAAGAAGACGTCCTAAGGATTTTATAACAGTATAGGTACTCTGTTAATGGCTTTGAACCCAAGGTCATTATAAGCTGGGGCTCACAAGGGTTGAATGTTGAATTGATGAAAAAAATTGAATGTAGAAGATTAGGAGCACATAAAGAAGATTTGATTGTTCCTGGGAATCCTGGGTGACCAGAATCATCGACTTGACATAACGAAAAGAAGGCGAGAAAAAAGGTTAGTGCTCCTGATGTTTTTCTCCTGTATAATATACATAATTTACATACCATATTTGCTTCTCATGTAGATAATGAGTGTAAGAGGATCTCCAACTCTCACGGGCCCTGTAACTCTGTTTCCTGCAGTCCCATATCCATAACGAATTTCCATGTAACATTCTGGTGGAGTCAAAGTGAAAACCACCGGATTTCCAGTTGCTACTCTGAAAATATTCGGGGTAGTGTTTTTTTAATTTTGTTGATTGTCCTTCTACAAATCCTTCCACCCCCGCACCTTTGTTGATCAATTATTTCTCTTTGTAAATTGAACCAAAAATAGCAGTACCTATTCATATTAGTGTTGACACAAAGAAAAACAATCGCCAGCAGATTCGAATGAGGTAAAAAATACTGGCTTTCTTAGGACCGGAGGACTGTCCCTAAATTTAATTCAGTTTTGAGATATTGAAGCTTATTTGTTTACTTCTATATCATCACTTTCCATCAACATCTTGAATCTATAATCAGGTCTTCTAGATTTTTCTCGAGAACATTAATTTCATTCTCTAACTAATAGATGACAAAACATGATGAAACATATTAAATTACCCTGTGTCACCCGGTATGGTATAGTGACCTGGTGGGCATGGGCGTCATTTAGGGGGGGCAATTGCCTCCCCTGATTCTCTAAAAAAAATTATTTCACAATGAATCTACCTGTACCAATGACACAAAACCAAACGAATCAGTATTTTAAGTTGAAAAATGTCTATCATTTTGAAATGTTGGATATGTCAAACATAAAATATACATAAATGGGGAAGTAAATATCAGAATTTCCCGAGGAATTTCCTTAACTATTGTAAAAACTGGCGCCTTCAGCCATTTGAAAATAACAAGAAGCGCAATTAATAGATTTTATTATCTAATACAGGTACCTACTTCGACGGACAATTATTGAGAGTTTTTTGTAAAATTGAGAAATGCGTTAGTATTCCTTGCTTGATAAAAATCATTCAACACAACTCAACCAATAATTTAATTATTTTGATTTATTCGAATTTAATTGAAGTTCCTTTATTTTCGTTATCTCCCTAGATTCTTTGGGATTTCCTCTCCTAGTTAGAGTATTTTAATACTTTTCACTTGCTCTTCCAATTATCATATATTTTTCTTTTAATTTTAAAGCAAATATAACAAAATGAGAAAATGAAATTGAATAAAATGTGCTATGTGTTATAATGATGTTGTCACTCTAGGAAATTGTAGTTCGCGATTTGAAGTCATTTGACCTTGAACTCAAAAAGATTCGCTTGCGGTGCATTTTATACCATGCAAAAAATGTTCTCTTAGCTCCATGCCCCTCCCCTAGTATACACTAAAATGGCGCCCCTGCTGGTGGGCGGTGTTTACTGTCGAAGTTTTCCTTGTGTTACATGTGGAAAATATAGTCAAAAACAGTGCGACCTATTACCTATTGAATTTTAATACGGAATTTGTGCACAAAATCTATATTTACATGGATATTATTGGTATTATATTATCTTGTAAATTTTATTAACTCACTCTACGTCTAGAAACGGAAAGGTCACTGTTTTCCAAAAATCGTATCCGTATTCACAGGTAACTTTGAAGTGCTCGTCGAATTCTTCTTCTATAAGTGGATTGTACTGTACAGTTACAGTGTTCCACATGAAATTTTTCTAAAAAATAAAGAATTATAAAGTGATTAACTAAAAACGTAAAATATATAAAAAAAAAGGTTCGCCCGAGCAGGGACTTGAACCCTGGACCCTTGGATTAAAAGTCCAATGCTCTACCGACTGAGCTACCCGGGCAGATATTAATAAAAAATTGGATGACATAATAATATTATGTCATATTAAATAAGTTCAAATATTTTAGTTGGAACTTACTGTGGGCGTCTTCTTATTTTCTTCAGTATGCGTATTTTTTCCAAGTGTCCCACATCTGTTCAATTGAATGAAAAATTCATAATAGTCTCGGCCTGTACCATTTATATACATGCAATCAGGATCATAAGCGTAACCTGATGAATACATATTTTTGAAAATATTCCATTCGATTGGTCCAGTAAAAACTCACCTGCTGAATAGACAAGTCCAGTGAAGCTTCCGTTGAATCCAACTCGAATTTTCATATAATCGTCTTGACATTCTGCTTCGATATCTAAAAATATATAATTGATTTTATGAATTTGATATGACTGTTTCCTCCAAAGATACAAGTCCTCGGTAGTATAGTGGTCAGTATCCCCGCCTGTCACGCGGGAGACCGGGGTTCGATTCCCCGCCGGGGAGGATTTTTTTTTATTTACTCACGTTGGACTCTGGTATTGTTGAATCTTATCCTCCTGTATTCCCTGTCCCAGGTATCCAAGGGATGCTCCCAATCAATGCCAACTTCTGGATCGTCCTGATTTCGTGCTCTCAATGACGTCCCAGGCACATAATCCGACGTATCCCCTATAAAAACCACCTACGAAATATAAGTCAGTGCGGGTATGACTCTACATATAGAGGGTTTTCGGGCATAGCCCAGTTGAGCCAATTTTAAACAGGTGCAAGAAATCGTACAACCCAATTGCGCCCGCGACCGGCCAGCCCTTAAAATCACCATGACCCACTTGCGCCGATTGTCTTTAGCTAGAGCTAGAGGATTGAGAAAATGGAAAGGGTGCCCCATAGGAAATAGGGTTTTGGGAATGCCGGTTTTACTATTCAGCTAAAATACTTAATCATTGACAATGACAAAGTAAACAAGACATTATTTATTCAAAGTGTACAAGACATTTCATTTATATACACATTTTATTATAATGATGAGACGCAATTTCTACAAAATTGAACCTCTGAATTTGTCCATGTTTGAATAAATTTAAGTTTTCAAGATTTCAATTCTCTTCCTATACTCCTATACGATTTATAATTTTAATTGGTATATGAATATTATCTAGTTAAATGTTAGTTTTGGTTTGAAATTTCTTCAATATTTGAACAAATTAAAAATATATGGATGAGGTGCATAAAAACTTTTAGTTGAATCAGAATGAAAGGATTCACAGCAATTTGTTGTTCTCTAACTACTATAGCTTCAGCACAAGCCCAAATTTTAGGAGGAAACTTAGAATCCTCGTCTATATCATTATCAACAAGATAATCAAAATAATTTCTCAATCTTGCGTTATTCGTCAACATTTGGCCAAAATCAAAAGCGAAACAGTCTCCTACTGTTTCTGGCTCTGAAAATGTCAAGCCAAGTGTAAGTGTCCAAAATGTAAAATACTCCCAATATGTGAATCACTGTTAATTTTTGTATACGGACATCAACCCTAAACTTTGTATTTTTCTAATCCAAGCTTGACTTAGATGAAATCTGCATCCTATAATGTTTGTTTCTGGTCACATAAATCTTATGCATAGATGAATAGAGTTTTCAAAATTTGATGCAACTTCAGCAGGTTCAAATTAAAATCCTAGTTTTACACATTTTTGGCTCACGATTTCGAAACAATTGTCAGGGTAGGGGGTGTTGCGATAATGAGCAGGGACAGTGTGTCATTGATAACCTGCTAAGTCTATAGATTAGGCTTATTTTTACCATCGGCGCAACTGGGTTATCATAAATTCCGGGCCCTTTTGATACCCGGATTAGACCAGGTAGAATAGGCGCAATGGGGTTATCCCGGGGTTTTCAAACTTAAGTCGGCACTATTGCTAACTTGGTTATTATTCCAGTTTACAAAGTCAGTTGAATGTTGAATGGACAAACTAGTAACAGTAGGAGATCCGGCTGCAGATTTCTACCGTCATCTGATGATAACGAAATGATAATATATGTCCCAAAGGAAAGTAAAAACATTGTGGTTCATCGAACGGTACCTGTGCCAATCACTATCTGGGCAAAATGATGAAAACATTGCACTTTTCTGTGCGGAAATTTGCAGTATTTTTCGCGATTTGATAACAAGATAAGAATTATGCCATCCGATACCAATTGAATGGTAGATGTCAAAAACCTACCTACCTCAGTCTGAGCCAAATCCACGGCACATCGATTTATTTTCTCCTATTATTCCGGATATACTTCCGTCATGTGATAACAAGTTAAAACAAAAAGCAAATGAAAGGGGAATATGTCCTTTTGCGAATATCGAAACGGCTGCGAATCAAACTGATCTAAGTTAGTGGCAGAGCGTCAATATTTCCGTGAATATTCGTCAAAAGATAATATGCGATGGACCAGTGTGAAACTCGTGTGGTGCATATTTTGTTTTCCATTGGTAAATCTGGTGTCGGGTTTTGAATTCCATTGGAAAACTGGTTCACATAGTTTATATAGGGCTCAGTGCAACAATTCGCGCACGAGCTCTAATCTCTAATAGGTCGTGCAAAGTCAGTGCAGTTTTGAAAATGGCGGAAACATTGAATATGCATAGTTTAAAAACCAAAATTGAGTGGCAACCTAATCATCATCATCATCAGGTAGTGATGAAAATTTGGAGGTTTCATAATTTTGTAATTCAATGATGAAGTGGTACTTATTAAAAAACCTGCTCAAAATGACTTCCATGAAACATCTACTTTGTTTTTAATTGAAGTCAAGAAAGAATTTCAGGATGCGGACAAGTTATAAACAAAAACAAACCAATTTATCTGATTTAACCTCCAACAATAAAATTTTATTAATATAGTTTTTCGTATTCCATTGGGGATGCGCCAGTTCACATTTTGGAGAGAACTAACGTAGTGAGGGTGCAAAACTGGTGCAAAAACAGTGCACCACCAGGTTTACGAATGGAATTCGCTATAACTTTAGATCAGTTTGATTCGCAGCACGTTTGGATATTCGCAAAGGCGACATCATCCCCTTTCATTTGCTCCTTGTTTCAACTTGTTATCACATGACGGAAGTATGTCCGGAAAAATAAATCGGTGTGCCATGGATTTGGCTCAGACATGAGGGAAGGCACAGGAAGGTTTTGAAATCTCGATTCAATTGGTATCGGATGGCATAATTCTTATCTCGTTATCAAATCGTGAAATCGAGTGCATGCATATTTCCACACAGGAAAGTTCAACATTCCAATCATTTTGCAGGATAGTGTTGGCTCAGGTGCCATTTGATAAACTACAATGGTTTTACATGCCTTTGGGACATATATTATTTCGTTATCAGATGACTATCGAAATTTGCAGATGACTCTTATACTATAAGTATAGTATCTAATAGTATCTATATTTCTTCAGCTGATTACGACGACGAAAACTTAACAAAAATCCAACATCGCGCGTTCACGAGTTCCGTCAAAAAGTACAATTTCTTTAAATGGGACACCCAGTATAAGTATACAGTATTCTCAACGAAGCTACTTTAGTGAGGCGAAGTTACAAGTAATACCTCGACCATCCTCGACTAACAGAATAACTTTGAGAAATCATCGATAGCTCAGTCATTTTTGAATTTAGGATAGAAGATTATGGAACAATTTTTGTTCAGAATCGAATTTCATACCGATTTAGATTGTGTACTGGGTGCTGGGTGTCGCATTTAATGAAACCGAACTTTTTGACGTAACTCGTGAACGCAATGTGAGATTTTTGTTTCGTTTTCGTCATTGTAATCATCGGAAAAAATACTACTAGTTTGCCTTTTCAACTGTCCTTGTATCTTCAATAACAACCAAGTTAGTAAAAGTGCCGACTTAAGTTTGAAAATCCTGTGTGAAGAACCGTAAATATATACAGAGAGCCAGAAAAAAGTATGGAACCACCTATATATACGTACAACATACCTTTGATAATACAACGGTTTATTATTCTTTCGAAATGACATTGGATTTAAAATGTAAGTGGTAGGCTCAGTGTGAGTGATAATTTGATTAACATGAAGCTATACCTATCCAAATTGCGAGTGTCCATTTACCACTGGTATTACTAGTAACTTTGTTATTCTCATAGATACAATAATGTGAAAATTAGCAAAGTAGCAGTATATTTAACATTCGTTATGATGTAAGAATGACAAAAAACTATTGAGTTTGGACCAAAAATATAATTTGTGAAAACCCTGTCCATCATAATTTTTCCTGTTTGAATATTCTAGTCCTTGAATTTTGTAAACTAGGTGGGAACATACCCAATGTCAAGTGAATGAATAGTTGCAGTACACCATAGCCTATTATCATACTTTACTTGGTTGGTTCTACTTTGTTGAGAAAATCGTGATCATTCTAATGACAGTTTCATCATTAAAAAATGATGATTTGAATATCATGAGGACCATAAGGAGGTTGCATCTCAAACAGTGCAGAACTAAAATCTCGATCTGACATTTTTATATTGCTAACAATATAATTATGTACCTAAATTTGAATTGACTCACTTGATGGAAATCCAAAGTATAGGTAATAGATCGATATTGCCCCAATGTTCAATGTATGTGTGCTGGGAACTCCGATCTTTCAGACCTAGTAACGATTTTGTTTATTTCCATCAGTATTTCCACCGAGATTTCCACAGAAATTTCGTGTATAATAAATCATATGAAGAAGTACCATTATCAGATTTGCTGGTACCTATACGAATTCCTAATCTAGGAAAGAGATCTCGCCATTACATCCTATATCGGAAAAACATGTTGGATAATAAACCTAAAAAATCATGTTTCGCCACCATGTTACATTGACTTTAGCCTGTGTTACAAAAACCGGACGATATAATTATTTTCGACGTCTTTCTGTATTTTTAAGTACCTATACAATTCTGATTTCCCAATCCTAAGTATACCAAATACCAAGAATAATACATTTCATGCATCATACATCCAAAAAGATGCCGCGATTAGCTGCGTTAATATCGTGTTGATTGACCGTTTAAACGGAATACGTTTTATATCATAATCATTTTACACAGGGAAAACAATAATTGTAACAACAATAATTGTGACTTAGAAATCAATGATATGTCTTACCGATTCTGGTGAATTTGCCTCTTGTGTTAAGGCCTCCCTAGAATGATTCGCTATGTCCAAAATAGCCGCTGTTTCTGACGGATGACTGTCATCTTCAGCTTCGATTTGCTTATCTCCACCTACACTAGTGCTACTGCTGATACT